AATCCATGGGTATAAGCAAAAGTGAAAAAAGAAGAAGAAAGAATTAATCCATTCAGTTTAAAAAATAGGGAGCCCCTGCAAAAGTTCCATCCGTGGGGAAAAAAAGATATTAGAAACTGGATGACACTAAGTTCAATGCAGATTAATCTCACTCCCTACAGTCTTCTGTCTTCGATCTTAACTTAATTTTTTTTCTTGGGAAGTCTCTTCCTTTAATAATAAAATTTCCTCACCAATTCGAAACATTTTCTCTTTCCGCTTTCTTCCCGTTTCGGAGCTGTCCCGACTTCAGCAGCTTCATTAGCTGCATTTCTGTCTCCGAAAAAAAGCTATTCCTGGATCTTTCGGGGACTTTGTGGAATTCGACTGTCATGACGTCAGCTCTCCAGCTTGCCATAGGGTTTTAATGATGTGTATTGTTTCCCTCTTTGCACCTGAGCATCCTGACATGTATGAGCGAGCAGTATTACGGAAGGACCATCAAAAGAAGTATGGAGCAACAGTTGACTTGTGGAGCATTGGAGTGACCTTTTATCATGCTGCAACTGGAAGTCTACCATTTCGACCTTTTGAAGGTCCACGCAGAAATAAGGAAGTGATGTAGGTAATTCAGAGGAAATGTTCTATCACCAACTACCAACTAAACTACATAAAATTGGGAGTGGAGGGTAAACTAGACAATTTCTGGAAATATTTTCTTTGGGGATTCTGTTACATTCTTGTATTCTTACAATATTATTTGCTTTGCAATTTATTTTTCTTTCTCAGATATGCAACAGATATAATTTTAACATGGCTAAACATAGGAAGTACTGCATTTAGATATGTAGAAATGATGTTTTTTTAATTATGTTGAAGGCAGACTTCAATAATAGAATTGACTCAGTATGTTTTTCCAATGATGGAAGCAATATTTAAATGAGAGACATTTAATAGCTATTATTTTATATATTCTTTTAAAACCCAACTCATTGTTATGACAGACAAGGCAAGACTCTAGAGTCCTTTATTGGTCTCAATAAATGGTCCCGCAAATAACCTCCTGGTAAATATCCACCACTAGGCTACCCTGAAGGCAGCCACTCTCAGTTCCCTAAACAGCATCCCCTATATTACAAATAAAATCCACAGAGTAGGAGCACATTCATAGGGAAAGGTCCAGGGTTCCAAGTCCAGTCCAACTGGCTAAGCAAATCCATAAGGCAGAGTCTAGGCACAAGACAAATGACAGTCCTCAGGGCAAAGACAAGGGACAAGGCAAGAGGCTGTTCTAAAGGCAAAGCAAAGGGCCAAAGGCAAGGTCCAAGACAAAAGGCACAAAACAGTTGTCAAAGCAAGGAAAGGCCAAAGGCAGGAGTCTAGGGCAATCGGGAAAAGGATAAGCCAAAACAAGCAATTGTTGTTGGCAAAGGTCCCCATGACTTCTCCTTAAGTCACTCCACTCCAGGTGTTCCTTGTAAGGAGGGGTGGAGCGACCTCACAAGTAGTCTTGCCAGCCCTTCCTTGAACTTGCCTGCACTCCACTCTTTGTGTCCTCGGATCAAGTAGAGGAGGCAGCTGTTCCTCATCAGAGGGGATCTGCTGCCTATCAGCACTGTTGCCTGTCAGCAGCTGTTCCTTCCTGTGTCTGTGAAGGCAGGCAGTTCTCCATTTGGTCAACCACCTCCCCAATGCCTGAGGATGCATCATCCTCAGACCCTGGCTTCTCCAAACATGCCAGTGGAGAAATGCCATCCATGTCGGTCAGACCCAGTTCCTCCTCCTCCTCCAAACTGTGCTCCAATTGGGCCATGACACTCATAAATTACTACTGCCTTATGGGAATTGACAAGAAAGTTTTGATGAGTTTAATAATTTAAAACTTTAATACACGCAGCATTTTCCCATCAGCCAAAGTTTTTTGTTTGGACAAATAACTTTTGAAAAATAATCAGGCAATTGAATTATGTATACATTATTTGCATTCTTTAGTTTGAGGTAGAGTATGATTCTTCAATAGTTATAGATGACTAAGGCAAACAAATGGTCCTCAGTTGGATCCTCACTTTTTGCAACTGAAATTCTATTTACAAATCTTTCCAGTGCAAGAATGGAAAGTGGATCTGATCAATTCTTTTGTCCCATGTTCCTCTTGGAAAGCAGATCTGGAATGGAATAGGAAATCAGTAGAGATTTCCTCTTCCCTTCCTTCTAATGGATCTCTGTGCATATTATAAATAGAAAGAGCTATAATCCACTATAGAAACATTATTACCCTTGTAATGTCTCATAGATACTTGTTTCACTATCTGTATATATAAATCTGTTGAAAAAATTAACTTTTGAAAATTATTTTAACTTTCAAGAACAACACTTTATTCAAATTTTTAATGCCCCCAAACTTTATAGAGTTAAAAACTGTGTTTCCTGTTATAGTTGGTAAATGGTTCAATAACAATTAAAATGCCACTTCTTTAGAAATGTAATTAGTTGTTCTGAACTAGAAAGCTGCCTACTGCTGCTTTGTAATTCACATTACTATTACATGGTTTTATTATAGAGTATGTTTGCTGATTATGGTATTTCTTATATCTCAAAGGTATAAAATTATAACAGGAAAACCTTCTGGTGCAATATCTGGAGTACAGAAAGCAGAAAATGGTCCCATTGAATGGAGTCGTGATATGCCTATTTCCTGTAGTCTTTCTAAGTATGTTTTGTCATTGATTTGCTTACATAATTTAATGTTGATTTCCATGCCTCATAAGATGTCATGTGAATATGAAACAAAAATTATGTGTTTTTAGCAATTTGCGGAATTGATAACGCACAGGGCTTGAAGTGATTGAGAATATTAAGAGTAATCTGCATTTCTGAGTGATAGGTGGAAAAGAAATTTCTAATTTGCAGTAGGACTTAATCTCTTCAGTTGTATTGCTTGAGCATAAAAAGTCTTTGCAATATTTTATTAATTTATATTTATTATTGCAATTCGGACCTTGCCCACTCTCATGGCTTTCCGAAAAGCTGTTAAAACCTGGCTATTCCGGCAGGCCTGGGGCTGTTGACCTCATTGCTGAGGTCCAGCCCCAATCAGATTGGGTGCATGTGTGATGTTTTTAACTTGTTTTCTTTATTTTTGTATTAATTTCTCCACTTTTCGCTTTGTAAGCCCCCCAGAGTCCTTCGGGATTGGGCGGCCTATAAATTTACTAAATGAATGAATGAATGAATGGATGGATGGATGGATGGATGGATGAATAAATAAATAAATAAATTTATGTTCTTGCAATTCCAGACAGACTTTCTGAGTATTTGAGTAGAACTCTCAGGTTTAGATTACTTCTGCCTGGAAGTAGATAAACCATGGTACAGGTAATCCTCCACAGATACTGGGCCTGTGGAGACTCACTCATCTTGCAAAGATCTAGCAAGCTGTGTCCACTCCAGCCTGTCTGCCCCAGTTTCTTTGCCTGCAAAAAGCTTTTGGCGCGAAGAATGGAGACTGGGCGGGGCATGCACACTACTCCCAGCCTCCATTCTTCTCACCAAAAGCCTTGAGAAAAACTGTCCAAAGCTTGCAGGGGTGAGTAATTGTCCTGGCAGGCTCTGGTCATCATTGCAAAAAGTCCGGAGCCTGCCAGGACACTGGAAAAGAAACCGCAGCAGAGAGGCTGGAGAGGACACAGCATTTGATCATTGAGATCTTCAAAAGATGAGTGAGTCTCCACAGGCTCAGTTCCTGGTGGGGCAGGATAGGGTGAAACAGATATCTTAGTGGATAGGGGGGGGAACTTGGGTGGTTGGAAGCACTACCCCCCCCCCCATGGTCTTCCCCACCCTGAGATACTTCATGTGCACTTAATGACCAGAGCATTTGATTAGCGAGTGCATTGGGTAAATCAGGGAGGGATCATGTTAATTGCACATGTTCCCATTAATGAATTCCTCAGGTTACAAATGTAATTAGCAGGCTCATTCGTAATCAAAGTGTCCTTCCATTTTTGTGCATACAATAGTCCTGCTGTTGTCAACAATACTTAGTAACAAAGTTCCATTTTTTTTCTCTAGGTCTTTTTCCATTAAACCCAAAAGGGAAAATTTCATCTTTATCCTCATTTTCAAAATTCTCTTTCCCTCCCTCCCTCCCTCCCTCTCCCTTCCTCACTCCCTCCCTCTCCCTCTCTGTATTTGAATCATACTCCAATATATTATCTTATAGAAAAAAAGATTATAATTTAATGTAAATTTTAAACCGTTTATCCACATATTTCCCCATTGTTCAAGCATCACATTATATCCAAAATTCCTTGCCCACTGAATTATGTAATGTTTTACATGTTCATTTTCCAAATTCAATTTCAATAACATTTTATAAATCTTAGCAATATTATGTTAATCATTTCCACATAGTAGTTTCCAATTCATTTTAACAAAGTCAAATCCATAGCACTTTTTATCCAGTTTAAATCTTTCTTTCAGTTGTTGATAAGTAAACCAATTGCAAACATAACCTTCTGATTCAAGTTCTTTCCTCTCCTTTAATACTAGGTCACCGGAGTTGAAAGATGATTGCCACCATTTTTTTTCTAAATGGTGACACCCAAAGAGGCAACTTGTATAAAGCCTTGTTTTATATTTATTCCAAACTCTTAGTATAACACATGTAACAAATTGATTAAAACCAACATTAACTTTACTTTTATCATACCATAAGTAGCTGTGCCATCCAAACCTTAATTCATAGCCCTCTTTTTATTCTGGAGGCTTACCCATTCTTTTGACCAGGCCAGACAGCATGCATTTCATAATTTTTTATCAACATAAATTATAATATGCAAACTCACATCCTAATTTGGTCACTCATTAACCAAATGAAGCAACACTGAATTAATAAAATAAACTATGAGATTAGCACAATTTTACTAATTTACTAAATTTTGCTAAAATGTTATAATTTTAATTTACTTTAAAGTAAGTGCCACTACAATGATAACATTCCTTATCTTTTTCCTTTATTGTGCTTTAGGAAAATATTATGTACATATGAATAGTGTTTCATAGTACAAAATACATGATCTGCCGGCTACTTTCTTGCAAGGAATGATGAGCTATTGGATAGGAAGTTGCCCTATTTCCATGAAAGATATCTGCAATCTTCACCAATTAGAATTACTTCTTCCTTTTTAACTAAAGTGCATCCCAGCTACTTTTACCTTGTTGATGTATTGACATTGACATGTATTTATGAGAGTTATCTTTTGCACCCTCTGATAAGCAGCGTAAGTGGGGAAGCCAGATTCACTTAATACCTGTGTTACTAAATTATCAACTGCAGTGATTCATTTAACAACTGTGGCAAGAAAAGTTGTAAATAGGGGGAAATTTACTTAACTGTCTTGCTGAGTAACAGAAATTTTGGGTTCAATCGTCGTAAATCAAAGACCACTTGTATAATAAAAATACATTATTTAATGTAATAATTGTTTTCTATTTAACTTTTTAGGGGATTGCAGGTACTTCTTACACCTGTCCTTGCAAATATTCTTGAAGCAGATCAAGAAAAATGTTGGGGATTTGATCAGTTTTTTGCAGAGACAAGTGACATACTGCATCGGATAATTATTCATGTCTTCTCTCTTCAACAAATGACTGCACACAAAATTTATATTCACAATCATAATAAGTAAGTTTTCTATAATTTTATTTTCATAAGGCAACAACTAGATCTATGATCTATTTCCCTTTAAATAGATTTCCTCCCCTTTTTTCCCTTCTTTCTTCTGGCTATTTTAATGCATTGGGAGTTCTTTCTTACATGCATTTTTTTTTCTTCTTCTTTTAACAGTGCTACCATATTTAATGAACTTGTCTACAAACAAACAAAAATACCTTCACACAATCAAGAATTGATATATGAAGGACGGCGTTTAGTGCTGGAACCTAACAGACTGGCACAAGCTTTCCCTAAAACCACAGAGGAAAATCCTATAATTATAGAAAGCAGAGAAGCTGTAAACATCATAGGATTACTCTATGAAGAAAGTATGATGGAATCATTATTTTTCTGATTAAAACTCAAGCATTACATTTTTTTAGTTATATTAAATTTGTAACTTCTAAAAGCTACACTATTTTTATATGACTGTAGCAAATATTATTTTTAAATAATAATAATAATTAATTAATAATAATAATAATATAAGACATTTACTTGTATCCCTCAAAATTATTGCCCCAATGTATTCTTAATAGCCAAATTCAATCCTATCTAATTTTTATTGAGATAAGCAGGATCCACTAAGTGTTTCAATCTGATGTGGGCAAATTTTTAATTCAATTTTATTTGGAATGTATCCTGACTCAAAATTCTATTTTACTTATAGGATTACATGTATAATCCAATTATACATTTTTCATTGGAAATTAATTACTGAAATTGCAATTAAAGAGTTTTTTTCTTTTCATTTAAGAAATTGTTTAGTCCTGAATTGGTACAATGTTCCATCTTCATACATTTAAAAAAGGATTCTTAATATTTATTTTGCTTTTTGTATAATTCAAATAATTTTCAAAATAAAAAATAAACAGTTCTAAAACACAGCAAAATACTACAGTAAGAAAGCAGAAATTATATAAAATAAGCAAAGGGGGCATTTGTGATCAAAATGGCAAGAGGGTAAGTGCTATCGTGATCCAAGTGTCATTTCTTAGTAACTCATTATTTGTTGCACATATATACAAAAGGGATGGGACATGCTTTGTGACACTGTACCTGCCATTTTACAAATAGTGATAGATACAATACCCTGTGCCCTGTCTACCACTCCCTGCCACACACTCAATTTGAGATGTAACAGTATTACTTAATAGAATATAAATGAACTTTACAAATAATGTAGAAATAACAACAACAATAACAACAATAATAATGACATTTCTATTGGCAAAGAAATGGATACTAATGGAAAAGGATTTTCATCATATGATTTTCTTTAACAAATTGCATAGAGGATTAGTTAGAAAAATATATTCTATTTATGATGAATTTGTTCTTTCCCAAAATCACTCTAGTAATTTTTATAATAGTTGCCATTTTCTCAGATATCAAGGATATGTTCTGGGTTTTTTTCTTTTTTTTAATTTCTGACTGTGTGTAATTTTTAATTTTCTTTTTAAACCTTCTGTTCTATTGCAGTTTTGCTTCCTAAGGTTCATCAACGTTATGACTTGGATAGCGATGTAAGTATGGCAAAAGTGAGTATCTCAGTTAATTATAATTACATGTACATAAGAATGAATACTTCAAAGCCAGTGTCGTGTTATGATGCTGGGCTAAGAATTGGAAGATCCAGGTTCTAGTCACTGGGGAGCAGACATTCCTTCTCGGCCCTTACTAGTGTGAGATACTAAAGTTCCTGCTGAATCATACTTTTAAAAAGGTTCACTCTTAAGAACTAGATGAGTGCAATGCAAAGTAAGCAGATCTTGCAACTAAGTGAAACAAACATTAAGAACAGCAACATATAAGATGTGTAGGAGTGAAATAAATTAATGGTATTGAATGCAGATAATTTTAGGTAGAGAGAATTGTATAAGTAGTAATTTTAATAGTGTTGCTTTAACAATGATATAATAAGAAATTGCTCGTCTTATACCTTAATCTGAAGTTCTTTGATCTATCATCACTCAGTAATATAGTACACAGTCTTCAAGTTATGTCTACTTTTTGCTTTTTCCAAAGCTTGTATTACAACTTTCTAACCTAATACAGAAACTTAATTGACCTTTATTTTTGTTTGGTATTAGGTTTAGTGGATTATATTCCCATTTACCTCATAATATGATTTCATCTAAATATCAAATTTCTGTTAATAAAATTACTGTAGCAATTTATTAACTAATGCATTTTATTTGTTCCTTATAGGCAGTAACAGGGGTTGTATGTTACGCCTGTAGAATTGCCCGAGCCTTACTGCTTTATCAAGAGCTCCTGCGAAAAGGAATCAGGTGGCTAATGTGAGTGATGCTATTGATCAGCTTTCTCATTGTCATTCCTGCAGGTAACAGATCTGACTGGATAATTAAGTAAGAGTTGGAGGCATGGGAAGAGTCTAATAAATGGGCTAATAAATTCAAATAAATAAATTCAAATAAATGAATAAATATTAAATGTGTGTTTTTCCATGACTGAGTGAAACCCTGGTGAAGCCAGTAGTCCATTTCAAAATGCTTATTTTAATTGTTAAATATTATATGATGTAGCGACCATGTACTTGCAAGATGAACTTTCTCCTCACAAAATCAACATGCTCTGTACATGCCCTCAGACAGCTGTTTTGGATCCCTATCCAACCAGAGTATAAGAGAATAGGGGCCCAAATTACTTTATGAAATAAAGAGAGCCCTCACCTTGCATGCATTTTGCGAAGCTATGAAAACTGTTCTAATTGTTCACTGTCAAACTATAGGGTTTGACAGTGGTTCTGTCAACCCTGTCTAAGGGGTCTGTTTTATTGTATTTGATTATATTTTATGATAAGATGGCTCAGTGATTAAGGCACTGAGCTTGTCGATCAGAAAGGTCAGCGGTTCGAATCCCTAGCACCGCATAATGGAGTGAGCTCCCGTTACTTGTCCCAGCTTCTGCCACCTAGCAGTTCTAAAGCATGTAAAAATGCAAGTAAAAAAATAGGGACCACCTTTGGTGGGAAGGTAACAGTGTTCTGTGTGCCTTTGGTGCTTAGTGATGCTGGCCACATGACCATAGAGACGTCTTCGGACAGCACTGGCTCTTCGGCTTTGAAACAGAGATGAGCAGCACCCCCTAGAGTTGGGAACAACTAGCACATATGTGTGAGGGGAACCTTTACCTTATATTTTATGATTATATAGAACCATGGTGGCACAGTGGTTAGAATTCAGTATTGCAGACTTTTTCTGCTGACTGCCGGCTGCCAACAGTTCGGCAGTTCTATTCTCATTGACTCAAGGATGACTCAGCCTTCTATCCTTCCGAGGTCGGTAAAATGAGGACTCAGATTGTTGAGGGTAAATTGCTTAGATAAGGCAGTAAAGCACTGTGAAGTGGTCTAAGTGCTATTGCTATTATGTAATCAGCTGAGTTATGAACACCTTGGAAGACATAGAAATATTGTAATAAAGAACTATGTGCACTATTCATCCAGTTGTAAGCAATCATGTGCAATAATTGGTTGTTACTACTTCATGCAAATTAGGTAGTATTTATATTGAATTAAATTTTTCCTGATGAAAGAAAACAAACTAATCAAGTACCTGCTAATAACAATATCAGATTCCATAGTTTATAAAGCCTAGATGTTAAACATTCAACTCTGAACATTTTTCTTTCAACCCATTGTTAAGTTTTAGGTTCAAAGCAATATGTATTCTTTTTTTGTATTCCTAATAAGAAAGATGAAGGGAAATAAAATTCTTTAATCAGGAGGTTTTTCCATTTAGTTCTTCTTTACTTTCCTGCAGAATTGAAGAAGGGGCTTCTTTGATAGCTTCTATGCATGTACAGAAAGGAAGGAATTTGGGACTTTGGCTCCATTCACTGCAGACATACAGTCTCAAATATCCCTCTTCATAACTGATGTAGTCTTTAAAATTTAAAAAAAAAATTTATCTCACAATGTAAAATATTAAAATAGTTGATATAATGTGGATGCAGAATAATGATTATTGTGCAATATTTAATATTTTCAATTTTAATGTTCTTAATTGCATCAATAGTACTGAGTTTATTAGTTACTTTAGTAGATTAAAATTAGCCAAGTCAAAAATAAATATCTTTCACATTTCTTTTTGGTGCAGGCTGAAAAAGTAGAATGAATGTTTGTTCTGGTAAATTGTTGTATTTGAAGACCAGAGAAAGAATATAAGGAATATAATGGCTTGAACTGACAATGATCGTATACTGCAGTGTTCAAATTCACAGTCCTTTTATTGCATGTTATAAAGACTTAAGACAGGAGCACAGCAGTCTGCAAAAATCCAAATATGTGTCATGTATGGAAAGTAATAGACTTGTTCTCTCTTGAATCTGGGATTGTTTCAACTAATTCAACAACTAAAACGAAAAGGAAATTCAAACTGAATATTCAAAAGAATGTCCTGATATTAAGAGTGGTTAAGTAATAAAACTTAAGAGTAGTTAATAGAATACTACAATGGAGATGTTATGCAATAACACACTGCCCTTTAGCTCCAATCTCACTGAGCAGGAGATTATTCTAGACTAGCTGATAACCTGGCATTGCCCTGGTATTTATTTATAGGGGGGAAATGTCCGGACCAAACGTAATTTCTAATGTTGGATTTTCCCCATTACCAGAGGGAGCCCCCTTGTAGAGTACTGTGAATCCATTACCATGGCAACTCCACTGCGCTGTACAGTAGAAGTCATTTTACAGCACAACAGGCTGTATCTTAACAGAACACACACCCTAAGGGGTGTTAGGGGTGTCTCTCTCTCTCTCTTACACACACACACATACACACATATATATATATATTCCGGAGACTGGTAATATGCATAGTGATAATTTTTCCATAAGACCAAAAAAAACCATTCATGATGCTTTCATGTCTATGTTTATTGCTTCAATTACTGTTTTCTAGTGAGCTCATCAAAGAAGAATACAATGAAACATTTCACAAAAAGACAGAGGTTGTTATCAAGCTGGACTGTTGCAATAGAAATACAGAAAAAGCTATGAAAATGTGAGTATTTAAGGAGAAATCATCTACACTGCACTTGTCTACTTTTTAAAGCAAGAAAATCAAAGTGCCATGCAAATATGTACTAGCTAACTGATTTATAAAATCAGTGTAATATCCCAGAATTGTATAGTTGGAAGGATCCAAGGTTGCCATCCAAACCTGTTTTGCAAAAATCCAAAATAACTCATTCTCAAAAGATGTTGGTCCAGCCTTAGCTCAAATACAAGCACATTTAATGGAAAGTCTGCCATCTATCTGGATAATCGGTTCCATTGTCAAATTGCTTTTCCACTATTGTTGACACACACACATACACACCCGGGATGTTATGCATTCAGTTAAATTCTGCACCCTTTAGTTCCATTATTCCTTGTCATAAATGCTGATATGGTGGAGAACAGATATTGACTTTTTGTGTGACATCTTTCCAGATATTTAAAGAACATTATTTCTTTCTTTGTCTTTTCAAGTTCAATATGGTGATCCTTCAGTCTCTCAAGGGACTTAGTTTCTAATTTATTCCTATTGCCCTCCTCTGGATTATGACTATTCTTGTCATTGTTATTTATTTAATGGCAATATTTCACAATTGAAGTAACACACCATGTTGTCCTAAACTGGCCGTGGCTAAAGGAAGCCTCATGGACTGTTTGTGTAATAGGAGATGATCAAGCTGAGCTTGACATGTCATGAGTCCCTTCATGCCCACAAGAAATCTAAGTCCAGCCCACCCTGAATTCCCGTGACTCTTATCTACTGCCAATTTGCTTGGACCTTTACTAGTTCAGATTCTTGAAGAGTCTTTCAGTTTGCAATAAATCTGTATAATCATTTGGACTGTCTGCTCTCCTGATTTCCCTGGCACTTCACAGTTTGTTCCCAAATAATTCTAAGAAGGAAGATCTATGAACATACATGTGAACCTCCAGACATCTCCCCAATGTACCGTATTTTTCAAAGTATAAGACACACCTTTTTCCCTCAAAAAAGAGGGTAAAAATCTGGGTGTGTCTTATACACTAAATACAGCATTTTTGGCCTCCCAAAACCCTACCCCCTTTGCAAAAATGACCGTGCATAGCCTTTAGGAGGCTTCCAGAGTGCTCCTGGGGGCTGAGGAGGGCAAAATATGAGCAAAAAACAGGCTGATTTTGCTTATTTTTGCCCCCCAGCCCCCAGGAGCACTTTACAAACCTCCTAAAGACTAGGCATACCCTTTTTTGGGACAAAAAACGGGCCCATTTTCACAAAAAACGGGCCGTTTTTGGGAGCTCTGCAGAGTGCAAAACCTTTTTTTAAAAACTTGCCTCTTAAAAATCTTGGTGCGACTTATACTCTGGTGTGTCTTATATTCCGAAAGACACGGTATATGTACATGTACATACATGTACATGTATGTATATTTACATACATATGTAATCAGTGGGTTAGCATGGTGGTTGTTCACTACTATAGTGTTTGTTGCATAGTAAATCTATTTTGATCTCATTTCTAATGCAATCAGCAATTTTGAATTGCATTTTGACACTATATTTTTTGTTTTGTTTTGTTTTACTTTTATTAAAGCCATTATGTTTACATAATTGCCCTGGTTATAGTTATTGAATTTGAAATCAGAATATTTAGAAGACACAAGCCTACTGACATAATTTATGGAAAAAGCTTTGAAGCTAAACAGCATCAGTGGAATATTATTAAATGGAATTCAGTCATTTATTTTTATTTATTTGTGTTTTGGATGCTTTGTGAACCAAGAAAACCTGAGCCAGAGAAGAGCAGAATAAATCATATGTCAAATATTATTTCAGTAACACATTGATTCATCTGCTAGCATAAAATATTGAACTAATATTCACCAAAGCTATTGCATATGTCTACTGGAATTTCTCCACACGTTTTTTTTTATTGCCTAATTAAAGCCACATATCATTTGAGCAAGACTTTTAAAATAATACTAGTAAGTTTGTTTGTACACACAGACACAAACACACACACACACACACAATTTCCAATTGGGTCCAAAATAACATTATTCAAAAGCATTACATTAAAAAATGTGATATTGTAAACAAAGTTATAAACCAAGGTTCATTTATTTGTGTTTGTCTTCTCTTTTCTGTGAACAGATACCAAAATCTGGCACCATCAGAAGTGGATGCAATCTCAGATATACACACAAAACTCTTACGGGTAAAACTTTATATTACAATATTCTAGCAGGCAATAAAGTTGCTTTCAAATTATAGGAGTACTGAAATTTACTTGCACAGCATATATTTTTTAAGTTTCTAATAAGTAAAATAACTTTACATACATTTGTATTTTTCTTGCTGAGAGCAATAATAATGTATTGTTTATACCGTGTTTCCCCAAAAATACAACATGCCCTGATAATAAGACCATGCCACATTTTTCGGGTGGGCAAAAATGTAAGCCCTCCCCTGAAAATAAGCGCCCTGGACAACCCTCCCCTTTCCAGCCAGGCACAGCGCCATTCACTGACCTGGGGTATCGCCAAGCTGTCTGAGCGCCTGTTTGCCACCCTCCGGCTCCCGCGGCTTGACTCCTTTGGAATGCCCCTAGGTCAGTGAATGGGGCTCTGCATGGCTTGAGAGGGGGGTTGCGTGAGCGGCTTTTCCGCTCCCCGCTCATGCACCTTCCAACCTCACGATGCCCTTGCCTAACTCTTCTTATAGAGCTAGGGCATCTCCGCCACCGCATGGCTTTCTTTTGCAGCTTCCAAAGCACGGAGGTAGGATGCCAAATCTTCCGGAAGTTGCCACTCTGGGAATACGCTCTATGGTTGTACGCTCTGGGAGTACACTCTGCCTCAGCCAGTCCACAACCATAGAGTGTACTCGCAGAGCGGCCGCTGCCAAAAGACTCGGCTGCAGATCTCTGGAATTTGGAAGCTGGAGAATAGGTTATGCTCGGAGTGCCGTGGCGGCAGCGGCACACTGACCCTTCAGGGACAGCTGGGCCAGGGCATGGTGATGTTGGGAGGCACACCAGCTGGGGATGGAACAGGCGCTCGCGCAACCTCCCTTTCCAGCCAGGCAGAGCGCCATGCACTGACCTAAGAGTATCCCGAATGCGTCAAGCCACGGGAGCTTGGGGGGGAGGGCAAAGCACCCTGCGGCTTAGAGCCTTTGGGATATCACTGGGTCCGTGAGTGGCGCTCTGCCCAGCTGGAAAGGGGGGATGCCAGGTGGCTGCTCGTGAGCGTGGTCACCTCATGGCTGGAATGTTGCGCTGCTGCGACAGCGCAACACAGCCGTTTGCCCCTGAGGCTGTGCCTGGCTCTTTGGGCACCCGCTCGCAAGAGAGCAGCCACCTGGCAACCCCAAAACAATACCCTCCCCCCGATAAAAAGACCCAATCAATATTTGGGGGGGTCAGAAGAAAATAGGACCCTGTCTTATTTTCAGGGAAACACGGTAGTACTTATGCAAATTTCAAATGTATAATTTGCCATGTATGAAATATCATCCATACGGGTAGATGGTAATTGTATAAATAAAATTTAAAAATGTGAAATAGTTTTTAATGTCAAATGAATTCTCATTATATCTATAAATATTGAACCAGTAGAATTAAATGATTACCGGTATGTAGTATCATTCATATATATATATATATATATATATGTGTGTGTGTGTGTGTGTGTGTGTGTGTGTGTGTGTGTGTGTGTGTGTGTG